ATCTTGGAGGAGCCATGCCTAAGACACTGAACATTATCACCTGGAGGATGTGTCTTTTGGGCCAAGAGGAAGATCAGAACAAGAATCCTTACACAAGAAGAGAGGGAAAGAGAGTATTCAGATGGTATTAAATCTGGACTTGAGAATGGCTCACGTGGTACAGGGCTGGCCGAGCAAACATGAGGCACCCAGTTCAATTCCTACTACTGACAAACAAAACAATTTCATTAACACTCGAAGGAAATCCTTAGCCAGCACAATAAGGGAAGAGAAGGAAATGAAAGGGATCCACATAGGGAAAGAAGAAATTGAACTATCCCTATTTGCAGATGACATGGTCTTGTACCAAAAAGAAAGAAATCTCCACTCTCAAGCTCCTAGATCTAATAAACCACTTTGGCAAAGGAGCAGGATACAAAATGAACCCACAAAAACCAGTTGCCTTTCTGTACACCAACAATACACAAGCAGAAAAGGAAATCAGGAAAACAACTCCAATCACAATAACCTCCAAAAGAATAATCTATCTAGGAATTACCCTAACCAAAGTTGTAAAGGACCTATTTAGTGAAAATTATAAAAATCTAAAGAAAGAAATCAAAGAGGACACCAGAAAATGGAAAGACCTTCCCTGCACATGGATAGATAGAAGCAATATTCTGAAAATGGCCATACTGCCATTCAAAGCAGGTCCCATCAAAATCCCAATGACATCCTTTACTGAAATAGAGAAAACAACCCAAAATTTCATATGGAACAACAAAGGACTAGACTAGCCAAAGCAATTCTAGGAAAAAGAAGCAATGCAGGATGTATAACACCACCAGACTGAAAGCTCTACTATAGAGCCATGATAACAAAAACAGCTAGGTAGTGGCACAAAATAGACTCAAAGACCAATAGTATAGAATTGAAGACCCAGAAATAAAATCACATATATACAATCAGTTGATATTTGACAAAGGACCCAGAGACATACAGTAGAAAAAAGCATAGCTTCTTTAACTATTGGTGCTGGGAAAACTAGGCAATCACATGCAGAAAACTAAAAGTGGGCCCTAACCTGTCACCACGCACTAACATCAACTTAAAATGGATTAAAGACTTCAACATCAAACCTGAAACTCTGAAAGTACTGCAAGACAGACTAGGAGAGGCACTAGAACTTAGAGGTACAGGCAGGAACTTCCTGAACAGAGTCCCAGGGTCACAACAAATTGCAGACAGACTCAACAATAGGACTACCTTAAAATTAAAAGTTTCTGCACAGCTGAACACAGAGCTACCAAACTAGAAAGACAGCCAACCAATTAGGAAAAGATATTTACCAGCAATATATCAGACAAAGACCTAATACCCAGTATATACAAGGAGCTCAAGAAACTAACCCCTCCCAACAAACCAATCACTAAATGGGCAAGGGAGCCAAAGAGAGACTTCTCAGGAGAAGAGGTAAAAATGGCAAAGAAACACATGAGGACATGTTCATCATCCCTGGCTCTAAAGGAAATGCAAAGAAAAACAACCCTGAGATACCACCTTACCCCAGTCAGAATGGCCCTCTTCCTAAATTCAGCCAATGACAAATGCTGTTGCGGATGCAGAGAAAGAGGAACCCTACTGCACTGCTGCTGGGAATGTACACTAATACAACCACTCGAGAAAGCAGCCTGGAGAGTCCTCAGAAAACTAAACATAGACCTTCCCTACCATCCAGCCATACCACTCCTAGGCATCTCCCCTGAGCAACAGGAACCAGGATATGACAAGGACATATGCCCCTCCATGTTCACTGTTAGCCAGAATATGGAAACAAACCAGGTGCCCCACCACAGATGAATGGATCCAAAAATGGTGGTACCTATGTACAATGGAATATGACACAGTCATTAGAAAGAACAAAATAATGGCATTTGCAGGGAAATGGATGGGACTAAAATAAATCATGTTGAGCAAGATAATGCAAGATCAGAGACACAAACCGCACAGGTTCTCCCTGATCTGCCATTGTTACTTTCACAATGCAATGAGATATGACATAGTAAACAGGAGGCAAGAAACAAAGGTCCATGTCTTAAGTTGTCAATTCATTTCTAGATGGCTCGATGTTCTGGACCCCATATATGGTGTATACCCGTGCACATCTGAGGGAATCTAGGAGGAAGGCACAGATTTGGAGGAAAATGGGTGAAAAATACAGCAGAGAGGTCCATCAGCTGCACTGGACACTGAGGAAAGAGAACTAAGCAACTCATGGGCAGTGAGGGAAGGAGGGAGGGAGAAAGAACGAGGGAACAGCTGACACTGTGCAAAAGGAAAGAAAGGAACAATCACCCCATCTGGAAGAAATAGTTCTGTTGTTAACATTTGTACAGTTCATAAGCTTTGTAGATCAAAATAAGGGCAAATTGCATTGTGAATAGTAAAATGTGTTTGTGACTTTAGCTAAGCTTCACTCTGTCACAAAACTGTGAAATTTATGTAATTAGTTAATAAAGAAAAAACTCAAAGGAAAGGTTTTTGAAAACTAAATAGTGTTAAATAAGAATGTTAGAGCAAGAAGAATCAAAGACAGGCATGGTCATTGGAGAAGATGTTTATTGATACAGAGAGATAAGAAATATTCCAGGCAGGTGCTGGTGGCTCACACCTATAATCCTATCTAAGCAGGAGGCTGAGATTTGAGAATCTTCCTTCAAAGCCAGCCCTGGGAGGATCCATCTTGACACTCTGATCTCCTATGAAATCACAGAAAAAGTGGCAGTGGCATTGTGGCTCTACTGACAAAGTTCTAGATTGAGCACAAAGAGGCTCCAGGACAGTAGCCAAGCCCTGAGTTGAACCCTCAGGACTGGCACAAGAAAAGGAGGAAAGAAAGAAGGAAGGGAGAGAGGGAGGGAGAGGGAGGAAGGGAAGAAGGAACAGAGAGAGGGAGGCAGAGAATGAAACAAAAAGAGAAAGAAAAAGAGAGGAAGAGAGAAGTGAAACAGAAAAAGGTAGAAAGAGGAAAAGGAAAGAGAAAA